TGACCCTCCATACACGTCGGTTTCCTTTTGGGTTCCTTTTAAAACCAACGAAAAGGGGTGAACCCCCCCCAAAAAAGTAACAGGCCCATATGGATTTGGGCCCAACAAATGGCATTTGTCTCTTGGTTCTAGCTCTCCTTCAAAACAGGTTGTATGTATTTTGATTCGGGTAGACTAAACTGAAACAGAAACGGACAACATGATTTTCTGTGTACCCCGTTCTCGTGGGCCGAGGAAATCTTTTGTGTGTGTGTGTGTGTCAAAATAGGGATTTGCACCTCAAAAGTAGATTTCGGTGTTCATCTTTTGACACTACCGCTTTGTACTAGGCCTTCCTAATCTTCGGGGTCCGTATTTTTGGACACGAATCACGCTTGAAGCTGATTGTCAGGAGAACTGCAGGACGAATGATGGGCTGCAAAAGCAGTCAGGGTTTTGCAGCCACATGCCAAGTTGTTTTCTGGACTTGGTCGTGAAAACAGGTGAGAAACACGCGCCTTTGACGGTCACCCAAGTCGCTTGCCTGAGGTACATGATCCGCTCCCATGAGACCAAAAGCGCGGGATACCAGGAGCGGGAAACTTTGATTGCAAGTCCTCTTTTTGTCCACGTGTCAAAGGAAAGCCACAGGGAAACTGTGTCTTCCTGCGGGCGGGGGGGTCCCACCTTGGCTTTCATTGTTTTGTTTGTGTTTGTTTTACGTCGTCTTTTGTTTTAGATAGCTAACTTTTTTTTGAGGATCCTTTTTTCCCGACAGCCGGAATCTATGGGCCTCGGCCCGATGGGCTCGGGACGAACTTAATCCTGGGTGTGGGCAGAACACCTCCAAATCACCAATCCAAAACAATTAGAGGTAAGCTGATTGTATTTTGAGGAAGCTTCGTTTGGGAGGATACCTTGTTTTAGCCCAATCATGGGAGGGAAGCAGGCTACCAAGAAATAGGTTTGCAGGCCAATAGCACTGTTGGTGATGAGTAGTTGCCCTTTTCCGGGCAAACTTCCCATGGTGCCAAAATGCTGTGGCTTTGAACCTGTATTGGGCAATGGATATGCCCGAAACAGCCAACACATTGTCACAAAGACACCATAATATTTCTCAACAACTGCGGGAGCAGTATCAGTTTTGCGGCAGGATATCATTAAAGTTTCCTTTTTGAAGGGCATTGGTCCTCCATAATATAGAGGGTTTGTTTGTTTTTTATGGTACCTAAGTTTTGTTTTGGAGGGGAAGGTCCCCTCAAAAGACACCCCCATATTTGTCTTGGGTGCGTTGTTTCCTTCTGGAGGCAAAACATGGGGCCTTTTTCGCCTTTTGCCCTTGTAGTTTTCCATCATGTTTCCCTTTCCCCACCAAACAGTTGCCAGCTTCAGCGGTCGGATGAAGACGGACGCCTCGTTTTGGAGCCAGGAGACCATCCCCAACGTGGTCACGGTCTTCAGCGCTCCGAACTACATCGACCGCGCGGGGAACATGGCCGCGGTGGCGGTGCTCACCAATCAGAACGGGAACCTGGAGAAGCAGTTCGTGCAGCTCCTGGGCCGAAGTTTAGACTGTTGGGGCTCCGGTGCTCCCTCGCTTTTTCAACGTTTATTGGGGGGGCTTCCCTTCAAAACCAGCCCAACAAGTCACAATCAAACACCACTGAAGCTCTTTTCGCAGAAGTGCGAGACACATATAGTCCGTAGTCGTTTTGTTCATCAGTTGAGTCACAATCAAAACCCGAGGGGCAGTCCCAGCCGGAATTAGCTGCGGCCGCCTTCTCAAGACTATGACTCAGTTTCCCTAGTTACCAACGTGGAAACTGGAAGTGCTGGGGCCGGGGGGTGGCTTGGGGGAGGCAACCCAGTGCGCGCACCCGAAAGGAGGTGATATCTTCGTGGAAACCCTTCCGGAACCTCACCAAGCTTTCAGCCGTTTGAACACAACATGTTTGGGCATACATGGGGGTGGCGGTTTTTGAGAGTACTCGTGTTGGAGTGGTAAGGGGAAACCAAAAGGAACGCCGCAGTCATCCTTTGGGGTTCCCTATTTAAAGACACATCCAAGCGCGTTCCGTACTTCGATTTTCCAAAAACGTTTGGAAGTTTTGGCTCATGGGTTGCAGTTGGATTCGATCATCCCATGGATGCTCTTCAGTACGTGCAGCTCCTTTGCTGACTTGCCCCATTTTTTGGGAAGAGTGGGACGCCCATTTTAATGTGTTCTGTTTGTTTGTGTTGTTTCCCCCAAGAGCCACTGTTTCGCACCCGAATCATTTCTTGCAGCTCCGGGAACCTTCTCATATACCTTTTTTTCTGGTGACTTTGGATGTTGTTTTTGCAGGACGAGCACCCTCAGTCAGGTTGTTTCACGCGTTTCGGGTGGGGTCCACAGTTTTTGCCTCGTTTCAGGACGACTTCTTCAAAGGGCGTTCAAACATTTAAAGATATCTTGACTGCTCTTGGCATGTTGGTTTGTCAGTCCTGCTCATTTGAGTGAGTGGCAGCAATCACCACTTTGGGAAGTTCTGTGTCCAAGTAGGAGACCCCTGACATGGCAATGCTTTGGTGTCAACTGATGTTCCAAAGACCACAAAAGGCCGCGGGCTCTTGAGCCTCGCGACATGCTCTAAGGTCGATTCGCCACTCTCTTTACAATTCTCTTCAGAAGCCGAATTCCCATTTTCCCAGGGCTTGGCATTTTTTGATAAGGATCCCTGAAGAGAAACGAACCGGAAGGTAGAGCTGGAGATCTGGTTTTCTGCAGTCCGTTTTCTCCAAAGTGGCCTGTCGGAAAACGGTCGCCTCGGATGCGGTGCCATTCCTAAATTCACTCAGTTCTGAAAGGGAAGACAAGGAGGTCTCCTTGAATTGAATTGAATGCACAGCAGTCCACCTGTGTGCCCTTTTTGCGGCTTTAAAGGAGAACCAAGAGGGAACCCCTCATTTTGGAGTCCCCACTTTGACACAGCGGAAATGCAAATCCACTCAAAACTCGGACTCGGAGTGCCGCTGGTTGCCAAGGTTCATTCACCAGCCCCATCCGCCCATCGAGAGTGGCGCCTACATGACGGGCAAATCCCTGGCCCCTGCGTGAGAGATCGAATCTCGAGCGGAGTTTGGTGTATCTTTCGTGTTGTCTTCTCTTTCTTCTGGGGGGGGGGTGGGTTTAGTGGCAATGAAACCTTGTTTGTGGGGCCAAGCCTCGAGTGGTATGAAGAGCTCGTCTAGATCCGCTTTTAAATTCTCCGAAGCGAGCTCCCGACAAAGGGACAGCTCCCTTCAGACCTCCGCGCTCGACGCCTCGACACGGCCTGCAGAGCAAAATGGAGAAAGCTGGCCCACTCCAAGTACCCACTTTTTACAGTACATATACTTGAGAAATTCTGTCGAATTGTAAATGACTGTTGCTTTAGTTCAAGTTGACATCATACCTTTAAACAGAGGATATGTGGAGTACAGGGAGGCCAATTGCTGGCCGCGTGAGCATATTGGTAACTCCCCTATACTCGACAGCTTGAGTCTTGCTTCATGCAAGCCACTTTTTGAGTGTGCCCTCAGTCTTCAAGCTATGAGTATACTGGTGTTCTATTGCAGTCTTCACTTTTGCGCTTTCGGGTTGCCAATCGGAGCCACGCTGAAGGTACGAAAAGTAGGGCCCCCTACTGAAAATACAAGATTGGCGTTTGGTGTTTTGTAAAATGAATGCTTCGTAATGCTCAATTTCTTCTTTGTGAGTCAGGAGTCAATAACATACCACGAGCAACAATGGCATTTGGAGTAGGGGTGGTCATGTTTGGCTACTTGTTCCGGGTTCTCCAAAGTCAGCAGGGGGTTGGGAAGGTTAGTTTGACCCTTTTCTTGTTTGGACGCGGATGTTAATCCATGGCCATCCGTACCTCAAGGGGTTGTTGCCTGTTTTTCCCTTTGGGCGCGCATGCTGGAAAAATGAGGTTGGCCAGGAGCAGATGACTTAAATGGCCTTGGACTTGAGGGTTCTCCAATTATTTCAGATGCAGCTGGGATGACCATGAATTGACTTTCTTATATATATATATACATGTAACTTAACGTGTATACATATATATATATATATACATATATAGATACATATACATATATACATATATATACACACATGTGAACCTCCTAGTCTTTTATATTGGTCCCGAACCCGAAGTTTTTTCCGGTTTCAGCTCCAGAATTCATGCGGTTTCGTGCAACTCCCAAGTGGCACCCTCCACAAATCAAATCAGGAAGGAAAGGCACAGTTGTTCAGGAGGTCGACCCTTTATCTCCAACAAGGGATCGTAGCCCAGTTGCCAAGTGGTGCCTGGTTTTCCTTTTTTTAAGGGTTCCACTTTAAACTCAACCAACCAAAAAAGGATGCCTGTTTTTTTTCCCCATGGCCATGGGCATCTGAGGCAAAAAACACAGCACCCAAATGAAGCCTGTCATTGGTTGTCCCAAACAATATGTTTGTTTTCAAATTGAGTAGCGCACAAAACCGGCTCCTGTTGGCCAGACTTGGCATCTTTTTCATTTTTTGCCTTTTTGCGTTTTGTCAATGTCCCAACTGTTTCTGGGGGGGGTCTAAGTCTGGCCCAGTGCCAACCAGTACAACCATTGCTGGGTTTGACAATTCAAGAGGGAAGCACATCTTAAGAGGGGACGCCGTTCGGCGTGGTTGGTTGTTGATGGTTTACAATCAATCCATTCAACCAAACAAAAACTCAACCAGTCAATATCTCATTCATGGTCTCGGCACATGGTTCAATCTTTTCAATTTGGTTTGGTGCTGTCGATTTAAGCGGGGAGGGGGCTGCAAAAAACAGCCTTGTTTTGCTGCAATACCAAGGTTTTGGACAGATTTGCTTTCCAATCAACCAATCAACCAACAATAAGCATGCTCACCACTCGTCCGTTCCATTTGTCCTACCAGCCATTCAATCCATCGAAAACTCGGCGAATGACGATTTTCTTCGTCGCTCGTCTTGCTTCACCGCGGCATTTCTCGCCAGGTCCTTGCGCGGCGACCGAGTGGCTTGGCCCAGCCTGGAACACCCGGAGCTCCGGCGCTGGCTGCAGGCGACTTCCATTCGTTGCCTGTCGGCCTGTGGATGGATCTGTTGGCCGAAAACTGCCCACTCCAAGCGCCCTCTGTTTTTATGCTTCTTGTCTGGTGTGTGTGTGTGGGCGGAAAATCATGCTTTTGTTTGGCCTTGTGATGGTAATTATATGTTTCTTGTCTTCCCTGTCTGCAAAAGGGAGCTTGTAGGCATGGCAGAGATACTGGCGGCCAAGCTGTGCAGACCTCAAGATGAACAAGAACTTGAGCACTGAAGTTGACACCCAAACGCTCTAAAGACAGCCCTGCCCTGCCAGACACACCAAAGACATCCCCCAAGTCATCCCCCAAGACATCGCCCAAGACAACCACAAAGACCTCCCCAAAGACCTCCCGAAAGACATCGCCCTGAAGACCCCCCCCCCCCCCATGACACATTCCAAGGACATCCCCAAAAATCGCCCCCTGCCCCCCCCCCCCCCTCAAGAAGACTAGTAAAGACAGCTCCAAAGACACCCCTCAAGACATAGCGACATCTCCCTGACTCCCGAGGTGCTGCAACTGCCATGAAATTTGATCCAAAAGCTCTAAGGTGCTGCGCCTGTCAAGCAAAGTAAGCTTGCCACGGACTCAAATTCCTCCAAAGTCTGCCCCGGCCACGAATTCCAACTTTGACACTTTTACGACAGGTATCCAAAATTTGCACGGGCTCCAGATTGATTTCGACCGAGTTTGGCACATTGAGTCGATTGTACGGCAGGGCCAACGAAAATGACACATTGAGTCGATTGTACGGCAGGGCCAACGAAAATGACACTCACGCAAACGCTTGCGTGCGCTCCTGTCAAGCAAGACACCTGAAAATAACCACCCCTGAAACGCAAGTATATAGCAACGTCCATCGCGCTAAGAACTCCAGCATTGCACCAGGATTTCAGCACTCCAAGATTCGTTGGAAAGTCACGTTTTGCGGGAATCCCGATGGCACGGCGAGCGCGACACTCGCGAACACATCGTGGACGCTTCGCGAGCGCTTCGCGGAGGCTTAGCGGACGCTTGCGGTGGTACAGCCTAACCCCCAGACCCCAACCTCTAATTTTACGGAAACCCTTTTTGCTACGCATTCGCAACAATCCGGATGAGGGACTTCTACTGGGACCCGGTCTTGGCTGAAAAGTGCAGGCATCCGGTATCTTGGTTTGCGCCAGGCGTTGGACGACCTGGTGGCGGACCTGCACCTGCGCGGCAATTGGATGGATTCTCTGCCCACTCTCCAAATTTCAATGGGTGTGGCTCAATGGGTGTGGCTAGGGTTACGCAGGTTTTAGTCTTTGGTTCCATTTACCAAGGTGTCATTTTGGTGCACGTATTTGAGCCACAGCCAAATGTGGATTCTGTTTCGGGTTTGCAAGAAGGCGAGTCAGAGTCAGAAATGTGATCTTTCTGCGTACGGCTGTCATGGTTTGGGCTTAGATGCCTCTCCATGTTGGTGAGCCCGTCAAAAAGAAAGAAAGGCAAACATCAAGCAAACCTGAAGGTTTTCATGTTCTTCCTCATGCAGAAGGAGGGCTATAATACCAGTGTCTAAGAGCTACTCGTTCTGAACATGCGTAGTCGCCGTGCTGCAACTTCTGCAATCGATCTGACCCAATATTAATATGGTGCCAGGGCCGCATCCGTCACTCCGAAGGGAAAGCAACATGATACCTTAGTTGCATCCCGTGGAGTGTTGTTTTGCCAGAGCACGCACACTCCTGCCTGAATTTCCCGGAGGGAAGGCAACCCTTTGGCAAGCTGTGATGCGTCACGCGCTTGGGCCTTCAACTTTTGCGACATTGGGGCACAGTAGGAGACTTTGCTTTGAGCAGTTCTCAGCTACCTGCGTGCCATGTTGGATATGAAGGCGGTCCCATCCTCATGGGAACAGGCAGTACAGTTTGGGGCAAGTTCAGCTTGCTGGTGCCAGAAGCATGAAGACGCTTCAGCCAGCGCCCGCGCTTCGAGCAGGTGGTGGGCTACCTGGAGCGGAATGAGCCGCTGCCCCTGGACCAGCAGTGCAGCGCACATACTCAGGTAGGCAAGCTGTCGTTCTTAGTTGTCTTCTAAATTGCGCGAGCGCGCGTGCCCAGTTCTCACGTTCGCTAAGCGGCGTGGTGTTTGTCGTCGTGCGCGTGGCTGCGTTGACCTCGCTTGGTAGTGCCGGCATGCGGGGTTGTGTCAACTGCCTCCCCCCTCCCCCCCGTTGTCGCCTGCAGCATCCAGCCACTCAACTGCATGGATGTGAAGACCTCGTGCTGAAACCTTCGAAAAACCTTGATCTCTCTGAGTCAACATCAATACCCCTATAGGTGAACGCCAGCTCTGCACGGCCATGTCCGATAGCCATTCCAACTTCCCTGAAAGCCGTGAAGCGGCCTGCTTGGTTCTATTCCAAGGTAGTGCCAGAGTGCTATGTACTGCGCCCAAGCCTTCCGTGAGGAGCCTGCCATGAGTGATTTCGTTGGTGGTGACCATTGCTGCATTGGCGCAGCTTACCGTTCATTTGTCATGAGTCATGAGTCATTAGCGCTGCGCACAAAACATGTCAGATAGCTGCGGGGGCCTGTCAGCGTTCCTTCACTATGGCGTGTGACTTCACCGGCTTGCCTGGCTTGCGTCGCTTGCAGCTATCAGTGTTGGTTTAAGCTCAGCTGCTGTTTGAGTGACAGCCTTGCCGCGAGTTGGATCAGTTGCGCCAGCGGCAGGCTGGGAGCAGTGTGGAAGTGCGAAGCGCTGGTCCTTCAGCTTCTTTGCTGTTTTCTTGATATTAAGCCAGATACGGCTGCAGCCTCTGAGCGCTGGCCTGTTTGTTTTTTTGGGGAGGGGGGGGGGGGTGGGAACCACCTTTGAAAGTGGAAAATGAGAAGAACCCCACTCGTTTTTCTAGGGGAAGATTCCCAATTTGTTTGCAACATCCTAAGTTCTTCTTTTCAAAAAAACAAGAAAGATCCTGGAAAGAACAGACATTGGAAGCTTCCCCCTGGAGTTTGTTGGTATTTTGAGCCAAGGCTTTTTCCTGGGCGCCACTCACCTAGGCGCCCGCTGCTGGACCGCGAGAACGAGCTGCGGACCGTGACTGCGCGGGAGCCGCCCATGGCCTCCTGTTACCCCAGGCCCGCCCAGTGTCAGCGCCTTCCCTTTTGAGGGAGCCTCACTTTGGGTATCCTTCATTTGGCCTTTGTCTCCGCTTCATTTGGTTTTCGGGCATTTGTTTTTCAGGATTTCGTCCTTCCTGTTTAGCCTTTCGGGGCCTGACGTTTGAAGGTTCCCTTCTGACTAAACCAAACTGACTCACGCTTACTTGTTGTTTTCCTTCAGTGGCTGGTTGCCTGCAACTGCAAAGCTTGCTGGTGCTCAGTAGAAAATGACCCAGCATGTTGGGAATGAACCAAGGGCTCCCCTCACACCTGCCTGTCGCACCAGCAAGAAGAAAACCCGACAACCAGTCCTTCACTTCCCCTTGCCTGGCCTTGGGGCAAAAATTCTCGGGCCATCACTCTGGTTGTCTGGCAATGTTGAGGGGGTTCTCACTTCTTAACCTGGCCTTTTGCAGATGCATCGTGACCTGTGTTGTCCCGGTGTTTTACTGGTGTGTTGATCTTGGAGTCTGCTGGTTGCAGAGAAACGTGCCTAATGGTGTCGGACTGGTTGGTTTCGAAGTGGATACTTTGGCAACCGATCTTTCCGTACCCTCTTGAAACCTCGTCCGTTTCTTCTTCATGGTTGTGGAATATGGGATGTCGGGCCAGTTTCTGCGAGATCAGGGAGCCGTTTTTCTTCCTCTTTTAATTTTTGTGACTTAGTCATTGGCATAGGCCAATGCAGATGTCCCACTTTGGTATCACAGAAAGTGGTATGTCCCACAACTATGCTCTTCCACCTGTCCCTTCAAAGACAACCAAACCCCCAGGGGCGCGCGCTACATCCGGCATTACGACAACAACTGCCGCACTGCCGCATTACTGCGGCATGAAACAGGTGGAGAAAACAAATCATGGCCTAAAAATCTTTCTACGGGGACAGTCCCCTCAGCAAAAACGCCTGTTGGATGATCCTTCTCCCGAGAGGTTTTCTTTTGGAAGGTTTCTGCTTCCACCGAACGCCTGAACTGGCTCCCACTGAGGTGAGGAGGGACAGGGGGATTGCAACGGGCGTCGCTTGACGGCAGTGTACTACCTCAACGAGGTCACAGAGAGCCGGCGCCTCGAACCGGGGAAACCGCAGAAGTGGATCTACTTATAGCGAGGAATTTGCCAGGTTTCGGAGATATGGATCTGTGTATACACAAAAACGGGGCTTGTACGGCAGATGAACTGTGGCTTTTTTCCCCCGAACTTCCAAAACCTGAAAGTTTCCCCCTGAAAGTTCCAATGCTTCCAAACCGATCTGGATCCCACTTGCCCAGTGGCGCCCTGTTTTCCTTTTTCTGGGGAAGGGTTCCCCTTCAAACTCCACCAGCCAAAAAGGGATGCCCCTCTTTTGGGCATCTGAGTGAATCGTGGGCTTCCCAGACCACCTGAGCTTCCATTTGCTTAAGAATACTTGCAATTTTACCTTTTTGTTTTTTTTTGGACCGGAATCTATCACTACTGGAAACATATTTCGATTTTTTTCCGGGGGCCCGGAGGCAAATGGCTGTGAGAGTTCCCTGCGAACCCCACGGGCTGCCTCAGGTGATGGCGGGCACCTGCGCATCATGGGCCAGCGTAGGGTTTATGCTCCCCGGCCGCACTGGCAAAAACAAGGTTCCTCAGAACACGGGTTTGTCTCTAAACGGGGGAGCCCCCCCCCAAATACATATATATATATAGTCTCCCCCCCCCCAAACAAACCAATATATATATATATAGGTATCCCTTTGGCTTCTCTTTTACAACACATCAGAGATAGACTCGCCGGAGTGTTGCTGGAGGGTACCCTTGTTGGTGGGTAGGGAAACCTCAAAGCAAACCAGCAGTTTTACATCCCATATTTTGGCATGCCCAGATCATTTATGTGTGATTGCCTAACTATGGAACAGAATCAAACGAAGAATATGTTTGCACTACAGAGTTTTGGGTCACGAAAAAAAAAGGGGGGGGGGGGGGAAAAACAAAAAAACGCCCGCGGGTCGGAAAAAAGCATGAGGAACATAGGATGAGGGTGCCAATTCGGGGTGAACCGCGTGCTTTCACCTGCGGTCCTTGGACCTGTCATCTCTGTCGAAGTGATGCCAGGGGTCTATTGTCCATTTGGGGACATGGGGGACGACCTCTAAGTACAAGCCAGAGGACTCTCTCATGTTTTCAGGTAAGCAACTCATGTTGACGGCTCACATGTTAGCGGCACCAAAAAGGGGCCAGCATCAGCAATATGTATTCTGGGTTCTTTTGGTTGGGCGGACAAGCTGATGGCAAGATTAGGCCAGTTGGGGGCCATTCACTCAGGCAGTGACCCAGGTGAATCAAAGGATTAATCCGTTAGGTCCCGAAACCAACGCTGTTTGGACCCCTTGCTAAACAAGGAGCAGCACCTTGTGTTGGTAAAAGAAGAGATGGCGAGCCACAGAAAAAGACGCTTACACTTGTGGAGGAGTTTGTTTCTCCACTTGTGTCTTTTTTGAGGGTACCCTTCTTTTGTGGATTCAAAGAGGAAATCATCAGCAGCAGCCTTTAGGCCGTTTTGTGGGCCTAGAAAAAGGACGAGCCGGCCACGGCCACCCATAGACCCGACAATTGCAGGACATCCTCCCGGCGCTGGATACCTTGGTCCTCTTCTGGGCGGACCGGCGCACGCCCCACGAGGTCTTGCCAAACCGAGGCCGGGCGGCCGGGCGGCCGGGCGGCCGGGCGGCCGGGCGGCCGTCGGTAGCCGTCGGTAGCCGTGGACCTAGGGGGTTCGCTCCTGAGGTCAACCAGGGTTTTTTGCTTGGCTGAGCTAGTGACTAGGTCCCCCAGCTAGGTGCCCTTTTACTCGGGGAAATAGACAAACAAGGAAAAAAGGGTACCCTTGGTCTAACCTCTTTAGTGGAGGACCTAGGTAACTTGGAGACCCTAGATTGTTACCAACTGCTTGTAACTTGTAAGTGTTTCTAAGTGTACATAACCCTGTTTTGAGTGGATTACAACCAACCCAGGTGACTAAGCGCTGACTAACTTGCCGCAGAGCCGAATGATTAGGGGCTCTGGTCCTACTTATCCAGGCACACCCCCGCCCACCGTTGCCAGGGAGGTCCGTGATTCCAACGCAGCATTCATATGTGCTTCAGTCAAACTCTCCAGACCCTTTTGGGTTTGGGAAAGGCGAGATCTCTTCAACCCGATGGGCACATCGGGAGTTCGGACTGAAACCCTTGAAATCCTGTTCGGTGGGTTTCCCTGATTCAGCCCAGCTGGTCATGATGTCACGGTTCTTGGGTACCCCACAACACCATTAGAAATTATTTAGACCTTGGCTACCCGACGCCCATTCAAAGAATTGCAAGGACCTTTACAAAATGAAACTCCTTAGGCAAACAATGGTGATTTAATCAACCCGCATGGTGTGGCTTGCAAATGGAATGGTATGTCCGTATGTCCCATCACGAGCCCCGTGATTGGTGGTTCGGATTGGTGTTATGGGGATTTGAATCCCTGGTTCTTGTAGAGGGCTAAGCCACAAATCCAAACCAATAGCTTGAGAAGTTGAGCTGTGTCTATATAGTGGTTGCCTACCCCCCTACTGTGGATGGACGAAATCCTGCACCACCTAAGAAGCCCTGGAATGATGAATCCCCTGTAAATACCAATGAACAATGGTTTCAACCATGGTTTCCAAGTGGTGCAGGATTTCGTCCATCCACAGTATGTTGCCCTTTGTTCCCGGTGATTTGCCGGGACAATATGAGCCAACCAAACTCAACCCGGCATGCAGTTCCCACTGGAATTAAAAAATGACCGCCCTAGAAATCCTTTTGGGCGGGCTGTTTATGCAAGGCACAAATGCAACCATTATTTGACACGTTAGAATTACCTTACACTCCATTGGTGGTTTGGATGGGTTTGGGGAGCCCCTGGTCATTGAGGAAAAACAGACAACAACAACAAAAGACGTCCAGGAGTTGATTCCCAGCGTTCTTTTCAAAAGTCGGCCCATTCTCTGGGTTCAACCTCTTTTCGGGTGGAGAAACTGTTTTCCCCTTTTGCCCTTTTTGCTCTTGGTGGTTTAAGCTGGTGTCCCACTTGTTTAGATTGTTTCAACAACAGTGACGCTCGAAAGTCCCCCACTCACCACCAAAACAGGGAGACATATAAGAGATTTATTTAAGGGTTCTAAGGCTGAAATGAATCTTTCTAACAATAAATGGTAGAACCAAAAGTAAACCGTGCTGGGTTGTTTGTCTTGAGTCAATTTGGGGTTCCCCAACCACACCAGCGAGGGGAGGCCGATTCAAAGGTCCGAGCATCCCCAGGTGCGGACCGCTACGCGCTGAGCTGCTGGCCGCGCGGATTGAGCAATTCGGAGGGTTTCGTTGTATGCATTTGAGCGGCGAATGGGACCAGTATGTGCACATTGGAGGTACCATTTGGGACGGACATGGGGGTGACTCGCTAAATTTGATCGCAATATCCAGGGGACTCTATAATTTTCCCATATCCTGTGGCCCAAAAAGTGACTTTGCGTTCCTGCGATTCTTCCATGCGTTCTTCTAGCCCGATTATTTTACCGCTATCAAAGTCACCCCTTAAGCGGCGGGTTAAAGGGAAAACTGTTCAGTTTCCGACTTTGATACCCCCTAGAATAGTGAATAGTCAAAACAATGACCCCAGTTCTTTCATGTATTTTCCTTGTTTGGTCGCCTTTTCGGCTGAGCTGCTTGAGGAGTTGAAGGTCTTCAACTCGATCCCTCTTGTTGGCACTGTGGTCGTTCTTCCTTGTTGTTGCTTACCTTTCCTTTTCCGATATGAGTTGGCCCCCGCGCAAGTTCATGGTCGCTTTGGCAGTACGGAATGACTGGGAACTGGGGATTTGGTCAGCGTGTATCGGTTTCTTTGGGATCCCTTATTTCAGGTTTGGATTTACGCTGGAACTCGCAGACAAAGTGGAAGACGATTGCTTTTAAGACTTTTCCCAAGCTCTGGATGGCGCAGGGAGGGTGCCGATCGGTACTCTGCCAACTTTGTAATGATACGTTTGTTCATAAGAGAAGCCGGCAAAGCAATAAAAGCAACTGGATCGGTCGGGCTGGGATGTTCTTAAAGGCTGTGACCCAAGATTTCCACAAGGCATAGAAGACAGCCCCACTTCCCCAATTTCCGCACGTTACACTGGAGAAGGGCCCTTCTGGTGGTCTGTTAAGAAACTGGTCACCCAAAAGAACTTGTCGACCGACAGACTGGTTGGACAAACCTACCTTTCTAGGTTCACCGCTGGACCACAGGCCAAACCACGGTAAACGTTCTTCCCACAGGGACAACAGAACAGAGGATTTAAGCTCACTCTCTGTGCCGAAGAAAGAACAATCATAAAGCACACTTGGGGGTTGTTCAATATTCCTGGCTTCAAACTTCCCACTGAGTGGTGAAAGCCATTTTTTTGCGGTTTCCCGACTGGCCATCCCATATTCAAAAAAAACTATTTGATTACCCCTCACTTTGGTATCACAGAATTCGGGGCGTCCCGAAAGCAAAAGCCTGGAGCCTGGCTTCTCGTGCGAGGTACGTGGACCTGGCGGAGGCTCCTGATGCCCCCGCCTTCCCCATGAAAAACCACCGCGCGAGGGCGGCGCCTTGGCCCCTTCCCGTTCCTGTTGGTTTCCTTTCGGTGCGGATTTCAGCCATTAAAGCAACAGGGATTGGTACAATCATCTGTCTAAATTGGTTCAACCATTGTTTTAAAGCGGGTTGAACCTTTTCGGTTCCCTTTGGCTCCATTTGGGTCTGTGTGAAGGGTTATTGTTTGAAGGCTTGTTTCGACGGCGTGTTTCTTTGGAAGCCCTTCTTAGTTCTTTCTGGGCAAATTAGTCCACGAGCAATTTTGCGGATTCTGGAATAAACATCCTGTACTGCGGGGCTCCCTATGTCCAATGTCTGTCTTGCCCATGTTCTGGCAATTTCTTTGGGGTTTCTTTGTGAGTTGCTTGGCTACTTTCCAAAGTTTCTGGACTTGAGACTGTTGGGAAGCCCATGGCAAGTGTAAGCAAACCTCTAGACATTGTTTGGGCCATCCACTCGATCGGAAGTGAGGCTTTTGCCTGTTTGGTCCCTTGCGTTTTGTGGCCCTGTGCTTTCTGATGCTTATGTATGGATAGGTTTTGCAGGTTCCTTATGGGTGCTGTTTTTTTCTTTGGGGGGGGGACATTCGGAATGAGGTTTTACTGGTTTATCAGGTTATCCTTAATTGGTGGGTTGGATTGGTGGTTTGGGGATTCTTGTAGAGGGTAGATGGGTAGCCCCTCCTTAACCACCATACCACCAATCCAAATCCCCAATTGGAAGGAACCTGAGTTTCATGGGCTCATGTTGTTTTCTTGGTTTGGTTGCCCACAGCCTCTCAGGTGCCTGCCTGCCTCCCAGATCCATCAAATCTGATCCGGGCGACGGAGGAGCGGCGTCGCTTTTGGTGTCCGGAGACTTTCGTTGTGCCGGTCAAACTGAGTGCGTGTGTGGTGGTACCTTTCCTTGGGAAAACGTGCCAGGGAGTTCAAGGTTTTGGGTGGAGGTGCGTTCCTTGGGTCTCTTCAGAACCTTCTATGAGATGGTAATTTGTTCAAGGGGTGCCCTTTTCAGGTTGGTTTAAAGGGAAACCCAGCATGTGATCCAGGCCACTTTGACACATACCGAATATGTTGCATGGCTAGGTGTCCGAAAGTTGGGCCGTTCCGGTTCGAGGCCCTGGGGTTGCTTTGATTTTGGAGGGGGTGGGCCCCGTTTGTTTTTCATAGAAATCTACTGGGGGTTGGGGTCGTACGCTGGTATCCTCAACAAGTCTCGCAGTTTCTGGGATCGAAACCTTTCCAGAAAGCTGCTCCGAAGCACCCCAGAGCCTATTTGGGTACACATCTCAAAGTTCTCAGCTGTCTGGGAAAGAGACAAGGAGCCATTTCAGAGGCATCTTCTTTTAGGGGACCCCTTTTTTGGGTGGAGTAAGCAGCTGTTAGTTTGCGGAGGACATGGGGCCCACCCAATTTCCAAGCGGATAGCGGCGTCCCACCCAATTTCCAAGGGGATGGAGAGGGGCAGCGTCAATAAACGGACAATTACTTTATGACCCAGCCGTTTTCCTTTCAATCACCATTCTTGGCTGGTTCGACTGGTGGACCTTTGCTCCTTCCTTTGAAAACAAATGGCTTTTCCATTCGGGTTGGATCCTCAGACTGTAACTTTTTGGGAAATAAAGGTGTTCTCCACAACCCCCAAAAGTTAAACTTTTTGCAGGGGGGTCAACAGCAACCAAGCATTCTACAAAAGGTGATGCGGGCTCAGAGCAATCTCCATTTTGGGGGCCATTCCGGGCGCTCTGGGTTTCCACCACTCTACATAGCCGCATCCATGTTGAGGCTTGTTGTGAATCCGACAGTATACCCGCCATAGATTGGGTCTGCTGTTCCCACCTCCATTTGAGGGAACCCTCCCGGCTGAATACCCCGTCCCTGCGATTCCAACCATCAAAACAATTGGGGTTGATATCACCGCGCACCATTTTAGCCTAAAAAGTGTCCTCAAAGGTGGTTGGTTGAGATGCTCAGGGGCCTAATCGCTCGGATTTGGCTGGCAGTCGTTTCCTATGGCTACATGGCACACGGTTGAATTGTACATGGCGTGCAAAACAGCCCACAATTGTGATTCTGCCCTCAAATGACGCCAATAAGATATATTTTCCGGACCCTTATTTAGCCTCGGGTAAACGTCCCCAAAGCAAAACCGGCTAAGGGGATGGATGGTGTCCAATTTTCCAGACCCTGGTTTGAGCAACAAGATCCCCCACAAAAAGGACTCCCATTTGGCTGTCTTGTTTTGTTAGCTGGCCGTTGGTGGACGTCAGGGGCGCCATGTCCACAATTTGTGAGGTGGTTCCCTATTAGCATTCACTGTCATTTGGTACAGAGAAGACGTCCGGCTTTTTCCGGCCAATCCAATCGATGGGAAGTGGGTGGGTGGGTGGGTCGACCGGATCTGACCTTGGCGATTTGCCAAGTTCGCTCATGTTTTTTCAAGGTCTCAAACGGTGAACCTTTCATTTCCAGGTCCGCCTTTGGGCAAGTGAGGTGTCCAAGAACCCCCCAACCCCCACTCTGTAAGGATTCCTCTAACAATTCCATTTGCCGAAAAGGTATGGAGGCGTCTTGAAAAGTGAGGATTCTGGAGATTGGGGGCCCTTCAGTCCCAGTTCTTGACCCCTTCACCTTTCCTTGGCCCCAGTTTGCCGAACCTGGATCGAGGAGTCGAGACCATCCGCCAGAAGTGAAGCCAAAAAGTGGGGTTGCGGAGCGCGAAGCGGCTGCTCATGCTTCTCGTTTTTTTTTGAACCAGCACACCGCAACCACTGCTTTTTGGACAGCAAGGGGATCTTGGACATGGGGAAAATCAGTGGTTGGGGGGTGCTGGAGTTTGTGGCCGCGACTTTCTTTTGGTTCACAATCCAGGGTTCCCTTTGCCCCTTTGGGGGCAGGTAAAGCGAGAGGTTGATTCTACTTTTGGGGGTGGATATTTTCCAGAAAAGAGCTGGGCGTTTTGTAAGGGTTCTCCTCATCGGGAGTGGGGATTCAACCTCTTGTTTCAACAAGTTGAAGATACAATTGATTTAGCAACACCAATTTGGTGCCCATTTTCCAACGGGACCAGGGATCAAAACCGATTCGGGCAAGAGAAGGGCAGTGCAGGGGCGGTCCCAAGCAGAAAAGGTGCGGATTGCATGATCTTGACTGAACCTGTTCAATGCCAGGTTTTCATTCTGACTCGGGTGATGTTTGAAGGGGACAAGGAGAAGACGTGACCACACAGGCCTCACAATTCTGGGGTTTGACTCGTTCGCAAAAACGGGCACTGGAGAAATGCCTGGAGATCTGGTTCGACCCCAATGGCGGGTCCTTTTCTGATGCTTGGGGGGCTCCAAAACCACAGCGCCTTCAGGCAGAATAGCACCAGGGTATCGCCAACAGCCGCGGTTTGGGCTGTAAGGCTTTCGGGGGTCTGATGTCAATTGGGTGTGTCGTTTTTCGAGGGGACCCCTTTGCTGGGATTAAACGGGAAACCAAAAGGAAGCCGGGTCCGATTCCTAAACAAAGAAACCCATCTCATCCGATGTTCCAATCCTGGCACAAGCAGAGCGCACTGGCGGCCTCGGCGAAAGCGCCCCGAAAGCGAAACGAGATGTCAGGGACATCCCGGGATCCTTGGTTGGCTTTCAGTTTTATCAAGAACCATTGTGGGTCTGTCTTTTTTTGGGGGGAATCCGACCTCCCAGTTCTCCTTCTGTTTCCAAGCCCGTAAAAGCCACAGAACAACGGGTATCCTCAAAAATGGCGGCCAACTTATATAAAACACGGGGTCACATACCGAACATTAAGGGGTTACGCCTCCATGTTGCAAGGTGGTAGAAAGAAGATGCAACACATCAACGTACTCTGAACGGACGAACTCCTGCACCAACTAAGACACCCTGATGATCCCCCTGTAAATACCAACGCACAATAGTTTCAGCCATGGTTTCAAGGTGGACCGAAATGGATTTCACAACAATCCACAGTACCATGACGAAACCATCCAAATTTGACACCATAATTTCACAACAATCCACTGACATATACTATTACTTGCAACCATATTGTCCCATAGTGTCCCATGGTTTCAAGGCGGTTCGAAATGGATTTCACGACAATCCGCAGTTGTACTATGACAAAACCATCCAAGTTTGACACCATAATTTCACAACACACCACTGACATATACTATTACTTGAAACCATAGTGTCCCATAGTGTCCCATGGTTTCAAGGTGGTTCGAAACGGATTACACAACAATCCGCAGTTGTACTATGACGAAACCATCCAAGTTTGACACCAGAATTTCACAACCATCCTCTGAATTATACTATTACTTGAAACCACATTGTCCCATGTCCCATGGTTTCAATTTGGTGCGAAATGGATTTCACAATAATCCATCCGCATTACTTTTTTCTCTCGCCTACCACGAGGAGCGGGACAAGGCCTTGGCCCAGTCCCCAGAAACCGGCGAGCGCCGGGGGCCTCAGCGCCCAAACGCCGCGACGTCGCTGGCAGAGGCGTGGTTTGGAGGTGTTTCGGGGTGATTCACCCTGCTACAAAAAGAACAGGGGTTTGAATTCCCACACCACCAATCCAAACCAGTGACATGTTCTTTTGGGATGGGGGCCTGCATCAATTCAGTCAGTTGTTTGTTAAACGAAAGTGTGGTCTGTTCCGGAGCTTGACTTGAAACTTTTGGCCTTGGCGAAATATGAAGAGTCTCGAAATATTTGTTTTGGTGCACCCAGAAACCAAGTCAATGTGGGTGAAGCTAACGAACTGGCTTGGACCATTTTGATGGTAAGCAAGAAGCTGGGACTTTCTTGGGGGGGGTGATCCACTCAGCTCACAGAGTGAGTTGCGCGGGCTTGTGTCCCAAAAGTGGGTGTTGCATGGCAGTGGTATCCTGATTTCTGTTTCAAATACAAAGGCGGGGTTCTCCGAAATCCGATGATACTCTCAACATCGCTTTAAGCAAATGGGTTTGAACAACCGCCCCAGAGATGACCACGGTGTTCTCTTGGATTCCCAACTTGGGTTTTCCCTCCAACCCAAAGGGAGTATTTGTTGCCCCAAAATGATACGATTTGTGTGCTTCTCAAGATAGGGGTCCATGTTGTTTGGCTTTAAGGGGATTTCAACTGGAAGCCGCTGCTACCTGGAGGATATGTGTATTTTTGAGAAACCCCCCAGTGAAATACCTGTATTTATGGGTGCGGAAGTTTGCCTCCAAGAGGCCCCCGTCACCCTGTTCCATACTAAGTTCTCCTCAAACAAGGATGATTCGGGGACACATACAATATTCTACAGGTTGATTCCCCATTATTTTCAACCATCGTTCTTTTCAAAACCAGCTGTTTCCCTGAGTTTTTGATGGTTTCCTGAAAAGAAGGATCCCTGGAAAGAATGGGGAAGGTAGCCCTAGAAATATGCTTTGGGACCCCCAAGGTGCGGGCGCTGCCCCAAAGGGGTCCGCGAGCCAAGCAAGCGATGAATGGCTTACCCGGTTGGAAGACTGGTTGGTGTGTTTGGGGCAGGGTGGTGTGGAGGTGCGTACCATCCGGAGCTGCAGCGAAGGTCATGGAAGTTCAGATCTCTGGTTCCGTAGAGTATTTGTTTGATAGTAGCCCCAGGTTGTTCTAAGCTCCCCTTTAAGCAGGAACAACACGTATGCTTTTTGTCTCCACACCATCCAGCAGGAAGGTTCATGCCTGATCCTTGGACCCCACCTTCGACCCTGGGAACCCTACCTGTCCAATGTCCAATTTCATCGGCTGGAAGTAAAACCAAAATGCACTTCGGGCAAGCCTCTCCCAATTCTCTTGCTTGCTTATGCCTTGTTTGGCTGAATAAGATGGCTTTCCCATGGTCCAGGGCCGCTTGACCTTCTGGTTGTTTGCTCAAGGTCTTCCGAGGTCTCCTCCGAGTTTTTGTTTAGGGTGGCCTTAACATGGTTGTCAAACAGAGAAAGTCTGACTCGGGTGCCTCAGACTTGGGCCAAGCAAAGGGAGAGCCCCAACATGCGAGTCCCCAACATGCGAGTCAGCTGGTGGATGTTAGCGGCGTTTTGGGGTTGGGCAAGTTTAGTTAGACACCCCTTTGGAGGGAACACCGCCTATTAAAGGGCACAACAGGACGAGTTGATTAGTCTGGGTTTCCCTTTCTGTATTTTCCCCCCGCACCCACACACAGTCCCACCATTGACACTCGCAATTGGGTTTGTTGCTTGTAACATACCAAGGTTTGGAAGTTTCCATCTGCTGAAATGAATATGTCTTATTTTCCCTGGTGGTTTGAGAGAGAATCTGGGTTCACGTCCAGCGATCTAAAGCGATGTGTCTGAGGCGCGGAGGTGCACCACAACTTGAAGGAGTGCCTCCAGAGGAAGCCACAGCCTTTGGTGTTTTGTCCTTTTTTCCGCGCGTCGAGTCCTCCCTCCCTCCCTCCCTCCCTCCCTCCCTCGCTCCCTCCCTCCCTCCCTCCCTCCCTCCCTCCCTCCCTCCCTCCCTCTCTCTCTCTCTTTCCGAGTTTTTTCGGGTCGAGTCCTCTCTCGCTCTCTCTCTCTGTCTATCTATCTTTTTGTTTCTCTCTCTCTCTCTCTCTCGTCTTTGGGCTCATCTTTTTGTTTGAGGGTAGTTGGTACCCATTTGTTGGTGGTGTTAAAGGGGGAGAACGAGAAAAAGCGTTGGGCCATTTTCGGGGAGCCAAAGAAAGAAAGAAAAGAAAGACGAATACCCCCGTTCTTAGTTCGGGAGATTGGGAGTTTGTTGGGTTCCATTCCCAGAGTGACAGGTTGGCTTCTTGGGATGGATGCACCCCAACAACCACCAACCGGTGCGAAGCGGACGTTGTTCATCCACGGTAGGAAATGTTTATCATTTAGAGATTTAGACAAATATGCTACGCAGTTCATATATGATATAGAAGGCTTCCTGAGGAAATCGGAACCATGGTTTTGAAGGTTCCTTTGGGGTTTCTTAGGTCCAGACTGTTTCTAAAGTGTATTTTGACTTGGGAATTCCTTCGGGGTTCCTTGATTTGCCCAAATCTACATAGGTTTGCATTGTCGAGTTCGTTGAAACTACGTATTGTATTTTTCGCGTGTATTTGAGTAGGAAGTGTAACTCCAGCTTATTGCGGTGTCGTAGTTCAAGAAGAAGCCTGGCTTCCCCCAACAGGAAGTGTCGGAGAAAAAAAACACGACATGCGAAGTCAAAACGTCCGAAACACAACGGGATTGAACGCCTGACAGGTGTTTGCGGACGTTTGCTTCAAGACAAAGATTGGTTTGAACACCTGACAGGTGTTTGGTGACGTTTGCTTTAAGATGCAGCTGTGTCAAAGCCATTGGGCAGATATGTTGAGTTTTAGCAGCGTCCAAAGCCCTTCTACAGCCATGCTTTTTTTTGGGGGGGGTGGTCAATTTGCTGGTTCTTGGCAGAAAAATGGGGGAATGACCACTATAAACCATGCGCTGTGGCAATCCCGTTAAGGCACTCCCGGAACGGTTCATTCCCAAGGTCCGGAACGGTCATTCCCCATCGCATCAGCCCCCGTCCCAAGCCCCCGTTTGGGCGGTGGGTGTCCGAGGGCTCAGATCAAAGAGCGCCTGGAGTGGAAAGAGCGCCGGGCGGCCGAGGGGCATCCGGAGCCTCCGGTTGAAATGAGCGAAGCGGAACAAGAAGCACTCTGTACATATGTACGCATATGTATATATATATATATATTTTTATATACATGTACTCTTTATATACGTATGCATGTGCTCATTAGGTTGTTTGTTGATTCATTTATATACGTTTGCGTACAATGAACTTCCAGCCTAAGCTTTTGGTGTACAGTCTCAGCCGAATTTTGGTAAAATAGGGCTCCTACGGTTGTCAGGGACCCAAAGACGGCAACCACACCCAAAGGACACCCGAGCACTTAATAGGCTGTATTGGTTGCTATTAGCTCTATGGGATTGGGGTGTCCTATGGACAGTCCCAAGAAATGGTTATGGATGCCCAAGATGTGGCCACTCTGTTCACTGTTCGTTGCATTTTCGGCGCGAAGCTGTGTTCATTCTTGGTGGGTGGCTGCAACACAACGATTGTTTGCTACGTTCTCATTAGCTTTGGCAAGTTAGGTGGGAACTCTGCAGACCTTTCCCAGAATCCAAAGTCGAAACATGACCTGGGCGTTGCCCAGTACATTTTGAGCCACGTTCACTGATTAAGAAACCATCTCACAATTCTCCCGGAAGTTAGCCCAAACATCTAGCCCAAGCCCCTGTGCTTTGAGTATTTCGCTGTTTTCCGGAGATGCTTTCTGAGACAGCGGTCGAACAGGTCGAGTCTCAAGCCTGCTTTCGGACAGGGTTGCTCCGAGCAAAGATACGAGGGTAGACCAGCTTTCCGCCAAATGCGTGGTGTGGATTGCTGGTTTGGGGGCTGGTGAACCCTGGTTCTTTCAAAGGGTAATTAAATGTTCTGAACCTCTTGTTTCCCGCAAACTTCCACCCTGCCAGGGGCATCGCCTTGTGCCAAGGAAGGCGCGGCCAAAAACCGCCGCTTTTGTGCTTTGCTTCCATGACTCAGCTGGAGCAAATGCAAACACTGGAGACAAACCGGGTGGGAAAAGCTGAAAAAGGGTGGTAAGTCGGTGTCCTGTCTAGACTTAGGATACATTTTACATTTCACCAGTGTCTCCAAGTGAAGCAAGCAATAAAAATACATTCCAAAACTGGGCCTAACTCCAACCATGGTGTTCGCAAGGCCCCACTTCCAGTGGCCCGTGGCCGGCCCGAGGCATCATCGCCAAGGAAAAGGCTTGGGAAGAGGAGGAGCAGCGGAAGCAGGCGCTCGGCTTGGCTCGGCAGAGGGTTCTGTCCCGGGTAGTCACGGAACTTCACCTTTGAACCGGTCCGGTCGGTACATTTTTCATGGAGACCCGGAAGCTGCTCCCCAAACAGACGACCCCCCCAGACACAGACATGCCACAGTCATGTTACACCTTGCCAGATTTCAGGCTTATAGCGGGGCTTTTGCGGGTTCTGCTGGTGAAGACTTGAAACGTACATGAGTACATCAGTGTCCACATCCAGCGGCCCTTTTCTGAGCTGACCTGTTGTTTTTGTTGTTGTGAATTGTATTTGAGTGCTGACAAGAAGGAAGCCAAAAAGCCCGTCAGTGCTTGTTTAGTGTCTTCCCCCTCAATATATTTGCTTATGGGCAAGCGAGCCTCCCCCCTTCCCCGCTAGAGAAAAGGATGATGTAGAGGACTGTTGTCGTAGCTTCATAGCGTATCCCAAACCTGGCTTCACACGAAACAAACCAAACAATGGTTTCCCAACGGAGGAAACAGGCATACACCCATAACCGGGGTACATGGCAACTCGCTGCAAAGGAGGAATCATGAGCATATATGTTGCATGTGGTATACGGGGAAATGAGGCATTGCTTCAATCTAGCATATGTTGATTGTCAACAGTATCAAAGATCTCACCACTGACCAATTTCAAAATGCCCGGATCATGTCTCGCAATCCGGATCTCCATGCAAGTCGCAGTAATCCCTTTCCCACCAAAAGGGAAACTGCCTGTGATGATGTCGTTCCTCCACATAAATTCCGAAGGGCTTCCTGGCATGGCAGAAGTGGGAACAACTCCGTTGAAGGGGAACTGCTAGGAAGAGAAGCAACAAGCAGCCGAGGAGGAGGCACGACGAGCCGAAAAACAATGTATGTGAGTCTGATTTGGGCATGAGGGAAAGAAGGAGGGGCAGAACCGGTGGCGTCACCTACCAAAAACACCAGCCTTTTTTGCCATGGCCCCGGGGGGACGGACCGGACCATTTTGTTTCTGAAGAATTCCACGTCATGGCTGACTTTTGGGGACGGAATCGCATATGAGCCGCTTCTCATTTACCACACAACGAGCAAGCCAGCAAACAGTGGTTGCCCTTTTCAACCACCCCAAAAAGGGTAGAAGTGATCCCCACATTCAAGCCTTCATTCGGGGGTATTTCGACTTTCTTGAGTCCTTATCTGGGGTTTGCCCTTCAGGGGTATGACACCTTCAGGCTTTAACAGTTGGCGAAGATGTTCTTGGGTGGCGCGTTAAAATCACAGCACATCGAGTTGATGACAAAAAGGTGGGGCCTTTTCGGGGACCTTTTTCATACGAGACCAAGGGAGGTTTTCCTGGGGGGAGCTGGGGTAGTTTGAGGGAAACATGACAGTCGCCGGAACCTGATTTGAGAAGTGCCCAAGCTAGCACTACAAGGGTGTCAACATGTATCGGAGATATTACAATAACCCCTATCGGGTTTTGCAGGTGTGTCGGTCCTCCTTTTGCAGGTTGTTACTTGCTTTGGATATTCCTTTTCGTTTTTTTGGTGGTAATATGTCGGGCACTCGGATAGAATTTAGATCCACCACAAAATTGGTTTAAGCCAAAACTTATCGCGTCTCTTTGTGGATGGGGGGAAGCAGATGATTCCTTGAACAGGAGTTCAATCAATTGCGGGCATGGGAATCAACCGCTAGACGGTATCACAAGAAACAGGCACACAGTTTCTACGACCATGTTAATCACAGGGCTGGTGAATTTCAAAACTAATGTCCTGGACAAATCAGGCTTTTGCTCACAGAAAGCCCATTCACTCCCATTCAGGGATCTCTGAAATTATTATGTACCCCAAGGTTGCGAAACATGGATCATAGTCAAGCATCAGGCCTTTGGAAAAGGGGGCCAAACAAAGCTGAGGTCCGATTCCCTAAGCCCACCATTTCGAGCCAACCATTGCTCTGCCGACGCACAAAGAAGGGATTGGGATAGTTTCCGGAAGAGTGACACCCCCTTTCTCTGTTGGGGCGGGGGAGGGGCTCCTAAAAAGAAGTGTTCTAGGCGCCTGATGAACTGAAATCAGGTCCCTAAAAGAACTAATAGTCATAGGAGAAACGTGTGCTGCTCCTCTTGTCACCTGTAAACCGCAAAACCCATGTCTGGTTTCCAGGGCCGTTGGGTTCCACTCGCAGGCGAGACGGCGCAAGGAACGGGAAGAACGGCTGGAGCGGATGAAAGAGGCGTGGGGGATCAGACGAGCCACCATCGAAATCCGAGAAGATGACGAAGGTTAGGGACAGCCATAGAAATAGGCGCGGCCGCCTTTCTCCCCTTGCATGGAGTTGGGTTTGGAGTCTGACTCACCAGAGTTTCGGTCACAAGCTTCCAGTTGTACATTGTCGATGCGGTAAGGACCATTATGGGAGCCGCAACCTTTGACCGTTGCTGACATGCTAGTGATTGCTTAGCCCTTCATATGATTCAGAATTTGGCTCAAAGAGTTGGTGTCGAAGCCCTGCGGACATGTCTTTCCTCAGTCTCACTCCCCAAGTTCCTGGACTTTGATTCATTGATTGTACCAGTTGGGCTTGGACCATTTGAGTGGCGAACCAAACATCTCAGACATGGTTGGGTCCAATTCCGCTCAGGAGGTGAGACTTTGTTGCATTTTGCCAAGGGCTGTTAGGACTTTAACTTTTTGCCAACTAGGTTTTCCATCAAACCACCAAGAGTTAATTTTTTTATCAGGGGAGCAGAAAGCAACCGAGTCCGTTGGGGTTTGGGACATGAAGGCGCATGGACTTCCGCCACAAGCACCCAGTGGCCCAGTGACTTATCAGCGATTGCCCCCATGTCCGCACGCAGCTTGCAGCAGCCTTTGTTGGCAAGTCGTGCACTTCACCTTGAACAGGGTTGCTGCACATTCAAGAGGGTTTCTGCCCAAAAAAATGCCAGACTGAACTGGCCTAAAAGGCCCTGTTATCCTTCATTAGCTCTTGTCACGAGCAAAAACTTGGGTTGTGTTGGCAGACGCAACCTACGTCCAGCTGCTTTTTGTCCCAAACCAGGGCTTGGAGCCACACCAGCACTCGCTTTCATGAGCCGCTTCAGCTTCATTGTTCAACTTATGGTTCTTGCTACCAAAGGTTTGGGAAGTGAGTCACAGTTTCTGACAGGGGTGTACCATGTCCATCACAGCCGTTTGCTTTCCTTGCCAAAAGCTTACAACGTTTTGCAGAGGGACGTCTGGCCTAGGGACAGTTCCATCCGATTCCGAACATATATTCCGTTTTTTCTGCGGGCACAAGGCCCATGTATTCCCAGCGAAGGGCGGAATCACCAACCCATTCGGGGATTGATCAATTGGTAACCTGGACCTCCAGAGAGCTTCCTTTCTCATTTTTTTTTTGGGGGGGGGTTCCCTTTAAAACTAGCTACCAGAAAAAGGTGTCAAGTATTGTTGTTTTTGGAATTCTACCGGGGGATCCGGGAAAGCACTAGTGGCTTCAATGTGCAAGAAGGGCCCAAGCCTTCTTTGTTCAAATCCACCTCGCCTAGGAGCGCAAACAAGAGGCGCGAGGGGAATTGTCGCCTCGGAGTTGCAGAAGTGGCCCCCCTACTCCAAGTGCCCGGCTATTTGGGGTTTGGCGGGGGGGCCCAATTGAGTGGGGCTTGTCATTTTCAGATGAGGATTGGAGCATGCATGTCTTTGGCTTTGAGGGGTATATGGTTCAAAAACCTTTTCCCTGGCACATACCTTTTGGACTCAGGGGCTCACACCCCTGCAGATCAACATGGAACCCCCCAAAAAGGATGTCCATTTTTTGGAGGTGTCTCGTTTTGGGGGGGACTTTGGTTTGGGGTCTCCATGCTGGGCTTGCGAAGTGGCGCTGGTGCCGCAGCTTGTGGCGAGCCGCGGCTCCCGTCGACTTGGACGCTGCCTGTCTCCGTGCCTGCTGATCCCCAGACTTAGCTTGTGGATCCAATGAGCCGAGCTCACACATTTGTGCGCTTTGTCACGCCCGCCGTTGGGCAACCCTTTGTGCCTGGTGGCCATTTTCCGGATGTTCTGATCTTGGAAGGCCGTTCCGAATCAGTGTTGGAATCTGATGCTTCTGACGCAGACACGCTCCTTCACTGGTCTCTGCGTGTGCTTGCGTCTTTGAGTTGTTTGGTTCTATACATGTTTTAGTGGCTGCAAAACCACATATCAGGGGTTAGAAAGACTCCACATACCTTTTACCCCCCCTTTTATAATCCCCCGCACCCCTTCGCAACCAACCATTTGGATTGCAAGGCGGTGACAATTATATGAGGTGAAGTGTTTTTTCTTTTGAGTTTTGAACACTCCTGACTTGTCCCAAAGACATCCAACGGCCGGAGAATAAAAGTTTACATTGTAGGCCGCTACGCATCGCCAGAACGGCCGCTACGCCTGAAGTCAGGCATGAAATCAGACCGCTCCGGGGCCTTTTGGACTCGGCTTCAACTTTATCCCATGTGAGGCGCCCAGGTGTGCGAGAGGCGAAGAATGGACCTCCACTTGTGTAAAATCACAAAGTTGTTGTGGAGATTGGAATAGATAAACCTTCACATGAACCTTCACATGAACCTTCACATGAACCTTCGCTTGCCCACTCTTCACCATGAGAAGTGATAAACATGTTGTGGAGATGGGAATCCCACTTTATCACATAAATAGAAATCCCCGCAACCAGTTGGACTTCTACATGCCGGCCTCAGGCCGGCGAGTTGTTTTCGGCAGGTGAGGGTTTACTCCCCAAAGAGCAGCAAGTTCACCCGCCACTTTGCAAGGGTTTGCTGGTAGTGGGCTCAAGGTTCAGGCGTTACTTGATCTGGCCTCAAACCTTTGGTGCATTTTGCTTGGATGTTAGGACTTTAACTCTTTGCCAACTAATGGGTTTTCCATTAAACCACTAAGAGTTAAACCTTTAGCAGGGGAGCAGAAGCAACCGAGAAACATGATTCCAGCTTGAGCATGTCCGTTGCATTCCAGGAGCGTCGCCACGTGCAGCAGGCCGGGGTTGATAGATCCGATCGACTAGTGAGTCAACCTGGTGGGATACTAGGGCGTATTCCTGAGTAAATGTGTGCTTCCAAGGAACACTCCCTACAAAATTTCACCAGAGGGTTCTTACTCCCGCGTCAAATGTTGCCCCGAAGTGTTGATTCTCCCAAAGGGAAACCAAAGGGATTATTGCTTCGTTGGCACCTAGGGGATGCCGCGGGCGAAATCAGGTTCAGGCTACTTGGGGCTTTTTTCAGCAAATATCGGCTTATATCAATGTCCATTCCATTTGTTTTTGAACATGCCTTATTTTTCTTTGATTGATGTTAAGGGGCATCTATCACTGCTGGAATTTTCCAGGGGACTAAAGCAAATGGAAGTCAAGGGCAATTCCCACTAGCACTAGCCAGTCATGCGAGGGCTTTTCCAATACACGCAAAGCTCCCATAGCTCGACCTGCAGACACGTGTCTTCAATGAGCCACGTTCCCAAATTCGGGTAGATGACGATTAAGGGCCACGACAGTCCCAACTAAAGCTGCGGATTTCCACTCGTTTGAATCAACCATGGTTTTGGTCAGGCCACGACCCCCCCCTTTTGGTGGTAGGTGACTGTACTCAATGAAATTTCAGGGGAAACCCTCTTCCCCCACCAAGGGCGAGCACAGAGCACAGCTGACAGAACAATCAATCTGGCAAATGGTCTTAAAGTAGCTTTTGGGTGCACCCAGAGCTGGGCCAATAGAACTCCAGTGGATGGATGGGATGGGATGGGATGGGATGGGATGGGATGGGATGGGATGGGATGGGATGGGATGGGATGGGATGGGATGGGATGGGATGGGATGGGATGGATGGGATGGCCGGGATGGATGAGATGGATGGGATGGATGGATGAATGGAGGGAGCAGGCTGTGAAGGCAACTGAATTCAGTGGTTGGCCCTACGCGTTCCAAGCCACCTTGCTTCGGAAAATTCTCGGACGCATGTCGGGCTCTAGGCGGCAGAAACGAAGGGGAGTGCCAAAGCCAATCGCCTCCATGCAATCTGAAAGGGGGCCCGACACTTCCAGTGCGTTTGGGTTGCTCTTCCCGAGTGCCAGGAGTGACCCTTGGTTGCTCTGGATTGGTGGGAACCAGAGATTTGAACCTCTGGTTCTTGTACGTGGCTGAATGGAAAATCATCCCTAGCCTCTCCACAGTTCGGGTTCCCAGGTTCCCATAATTTGAGACAGGCTGCTAGGGAAGCCAAAAGCAAAACCAGAAACAACCAAATGAAGCTGGATTTCGGGCAGCCGCGTGTTTCAATCCCGGACCCAGCACCCCATTTCAGCGCCCTCGCGCCAACACGTGCGGAAAAACGCCAGGTGCGTCCGGCCGCCGGTCTCGAATCTTTGCCCAAGGCGCCGTGGCAAAAAAACGAAGCGCGAAGTTGGCCCAAACAGCTCGGTCTTTTTGTTGGTATTTGACGAATGTCCCCGGATTTCCAGGAGATGGTTGGTTTTGTTAAGTAATTATTTGGCTGTAGTTTCCCGGATTTCCAGGAGATGGTTTCTGAGAACGGTTGGTTTGGGCAAACTCGGTTTTGGCTCAAGACAAATGGATGAAGTACTCGCGTGATGTGCTGAAAAGGCACCGCTGTGTGTTTCGTTTTGGCGCCTCGCGGAAGGTCGAGGAGGTCCCGGGCTTTGCCGAGCTGCGGTTGCTGGAGCAGACCCTTCAGTGCCCGAATTGGTTTTGGATGAAGGGGGCAGAACTCACCGTACCCCTTGGTGGTTTTTGAAGCCGAAGGAGCTGGGGTTTTTAAGCCGCAGAAGCAGTAATCAAAGACAACTTGGTACCTGAATAAGAGGATGTTTGAAGTTTGCGCGCGCTTTTGAGATTCACCAAGTATGGCAACACCACACGCAGCCTGAGTACAACTGCCAGCACCAAGACGTAGAAAGGCATGGACGAGACCAGGAAGCTTATTCAATACTTGATGACTGCCCAGAAGGCTTTCCGGACGTCACCAGCCGTATGCTCGGCTTTGACCATGCCGAATCTAGACCGGAATTAACTTGTTCCTGATACGCCAATGTGTTTGGGGGATCATGAGTGGGTTTGGTGGTTGTTCAACAGGGCTGAACTTGTGCAGAAGCACGCGTTGCGAATGTCACTAACGCCGGTCAAAGTCTTTTGAACACATGCTCTCCCATTGCTGGAAAGTGGGTACCTCTTTTTGGTTGAGCAGGGGTGAGCCTGCTTAGTTTCTTGACCCCAGGATCTCCCTGGTCTACTTGTGGAATTTGGGGGATGCTTGTTTGCTTTTTGGGGGTCCTTCGGATCATTTCTGTGGAGTAGCCAGTTAAGCACAGGACTACAAGATGCAACAAGGGCTGTCGAGGCTTAGAGCGAGACATTGTGTCGAGGCTTAGAGCGAGACATGTTGTGTGTCTGTGCGGACCTTTCTTTCTTTGTGGCGAGTAGTTAATGATATGGCCATGAATTTTAATAGGGAGCCACCTCTGAAGTGGCTGGTGGACGTGAATCACTACCTACATGATGTCCACCAAAGGGTTCCTATTCAAAAAAACACATCCATACCTAGAGTCTCCATGCCCCCTTAAAAATGGGGTCATTGCCCTAAATAATGGGGTCATGGGCCTATTCTCAAAGGGTCATGGAGACTCCCATGTACATCGTGTTGGACTCCAAGGAGGCAGTTCTGACCGGACGCTTGATGCGACGGGGAGGCCACCATTTTGAGGCCAGCATTCTCAGATGCTCGCCCGAAAAGCAAAAGACGGAGTGTGCGACGATACGTGCTACGGATGAAAATTGAGGTTGCTGGGAAGGATGTCTTTGCGATTCGTCTGTGGGGTTGGGTACATTCTCTCAGATTGTGGGTTCCTGTGGGTTTCCCTTCGGTGCTTCCCGAGAGAAACCTGTAGCTGTGTGGGAGGCTTGCCGATTTTGTCCATTGAGGTCGCCAATCGCCCAACCCTTGAGTCCAAGGGGGGGAGTTGGAATCCTACTTAGGGAGGGCACCTAAGCAAGATGTTTAGATTTGTGTTGCCATTCCACTCAGAAAGTGAGCTACCACACCATTTTCAAGCCCAGGTACTGCAAGAAGCTGCTGCCCAAAAACATGGACTCCGTGCAAGAGAAGAAGCCCATCCAGTGACCTGGGTGTTTGGTGGCCAGTTGCCCCTCCCCCCCTTCCCGTTTGGTTGAGGCTGGGGTGCCCAGAAAAGGGGGAAAGTCACTTCACAAGTTTCTGGACAACATCAACAAGCATGAGATCTTTCGGGCTTTTGTCGCCAACCGAAAACAGACAGCGAGCGCACCACAAGGAGACCATTTGAAGTTGTGTGTGTGCTTGTGCACTGGCAGAAATGGGGCATCCTTAAGACAGGGGTGTGTTGAAGCAGGACGACTGCGATTGCATTCCGAAGATCCCGAGCGCCCGTTGTTCCATTCGTTCAACCCACATGTATCATTGTATCATAGTCAAGCGTCTCCTTTTGAGCTTTCGTTTTGCAGACAATGGGCGTTAGGGTTTCCTTTCCTCCACGAAGAGTTCCCTGACAACTCTGGGCCGAATTCTCAGACAAGTCGACCTTTATCCCAACCACAAGGTTGACCTGCTTCACATACTGTGCTGCCCAGGGCGGGGGAACGCAACAACGCAGTCTTAGCAAGCCTGATAGAGTGTTTTGATACTTGTTTTAAACATTATGTGTGTATATACCTGGAAACTCCTTCCGGCCAAAATTTCAGCCGCGGACTCAAAAAGGCGCCTTTTTGCGTCCGCCGGCGGAAATTGGGATCTCCCAAGAATCGCGCGGCGTTTTTGCTTTTCCGGCGGCATTTTTCATACGCAGCCTTAAAGAGCATTGCTGCCACAACTTTTGCTTTGACCCATGCACATGCACCAATGTGACAAGCGTTGATTCTGCAAACCGACATTTGTCTCATTATATTCATATATGCGGCCACAAAGCAGCCTTTTGCAACTTGCAGCCACCGCAGTACCTGCGCATGCCTACCGCCAATCTCTTCAATCAGGGCATGACGCAGCCCGGGTGTACGAATCATGTTTGTTCGATGCGTGTGGCGAGTACGCAGCCCTCTTTGTCTCCACTGCTTCTGGCTTCAAAGGGGCTGGTTGCCCCAAAATACAGGAATCAGTTTTTTCCTGCATGCACAGTTTAATAGACGGTTTTGTATTTTGTTGGTGTTTCGGGCTACGGCGGAAACACGCGGTTTTACGGCGGAAACACGCGGGATTACGGCGGAAACACGTGTCCAAAGAGTGGATGTTCTCAGGGCCTTTGATTGCGCTGCTTGACGCTTGATCTCCTTACCTTCGATTCGTGCTGCTATTAGCATCACTGTGCAAAGCACGTCTGGTCACAAATGCATTGCCAGGAGAAATCATGATGCATGCAGTTGGCTATGTAGTTGCGGGCACCGAGAGTGTCAAAGCTCGTCTATTGATGTGCAAGTGCTTGCCATTTCCGGCCTACGGATTGTTCTCTGGATGAGTGGAGTCGTTGCTGCGTGCCCAGTGCCCGTCTTCATAACTTTCAGCAGCGTTTGTGAGCAAATCAAACACATGCCAGTCGGTTTTGCATTGTGGGAGCAAGTGCTTGGTGCAGTTTAGGATGTGCTAGGCCAGGCTTTGCGGCTGTTTTTCTGGCTGCCGGCGTTTTTCAGAGCTGCCGGCGATTTTTTCTGCTTGCGGCTGAAATTCTTGCTGAACGCAAAGCGGCTGAAACTTTGGCCGGACGGAGGTTCCAGGTATATATATATATACACATGCATGCATGCATACATGCACACACACACACACCCACACGCACACGCACACGCACACCCACACCCACAGCCACACCCACACGCACACGCACACACACACACCCACCCACCCACACCCACACGCACACACACACACACACAAACACACACACACACACACACACACACACACACACACACACACACACACACACACACACACACACACACACACACACACACACACACACACACACACACACACACACACACACACACACACACACACACACACACACACACACACACACACACACACACACACACACACACACACACACACACACACACACACACACACACACACACACACACACACACACACACACACACACACACACACACACACACACACTTGATATGAGACGGCAAAAGCTGACAATGTGCACCACCATGCAGGTACAAGCTGTTTGAAGGTCTCCGGCAGGGCAATGGAGTTTCGGCACCGAGGAAGTCTAGACATCTTTCGCTAACGCACTCTCCTCTTCCGGACCGCCAGCAGTGCGTTAGTTACTCCATGCTAGATCGTCCAAGGCGGTGGCGGCCGACTCCAATAAAGAGAAAAACGCGACCGAAGAACCCCTTAGGAACAGGGGGGCCACACACACACCCCCCGCAGGGGGAAGAAAAACCGAAACGCCTAAAAGCCGCCTCCATCATGATTGCCGATGGGTAGTTTAGACTGTTGGCAGAACTCCTGCCTAACTGCTCACGATCATTTTACCATGTAGCATCGCCGTCTGAGCTCAGGTGCATTGGTTCGAGATGGTCGCTTTCTGGTGCTGCTCCTTCAACTTTCTGAGACGTTCCAGGCTCCTCCAGCGCTGCGTGACATCCGCAATGGACCTGTTGAGCTTCTTGGCCAGCGATTTGTACGAGTACTTGGACCGGCTGTCCGCTTTCAGGCTGCAAAGCTGCTGGTCATCTTCCTCTGTCCAGGCGCGAGGTACCTCCGGGGGAGTTCCTGGATTGCCAGCATCGGAGTGAGCACGGGCGGGGGCTTCAGGAAGGGATTCAGGAGAGGAGAATGGGCCCACGCAAGGAGATACTGGAGCTGGCGCTGGAGTGCGAGGTGCTGGACGTGCTGGAGGCTCCGGGGAGTGCGTCCTCTCGGAGGATGTAGCACGGCATCGCTTCCGCTTCGTTCTGCGCCGATCGGTCCCACCCTTGTCCATGATGGAGCTGGGAACATTGGCCTTCTTGATGCTCGGCTGACCGACATGGGTGTGCGCCATGGAGCTCTTCGGGCGTGGGTCTATAGCCTCGTTGGCGTCCCCCGTGACGACGCCGTAGGACAGCGACTTGGGGTTAACCACTGCGTTGTGCTGGTGGTCCACGTGTAGCTGGAGTGACTGAAAGTCGGCTAGCGGTGGAGGGTCAGCCAGATCCTCCGAGTTGACCGAATGCCGAATCCCGGGGCCAGGTGGTTCTACCTCATCGAGTCGGGCATGGTCATGTGCTCTTGGTCGCGATGATTCTGCCAGCGATAGACCTCGGACATGATGATGCCGCACGCCATCGTGCCCGCCATGAATCCTGCGACTGTGTGCCTCGTCAGCCTGATTCAAGGTCTCCTGGATGAGCTGCATCATGTCCGCAGCGTTCTGGGTCATCCGGTGGTGGAGTGCAATCATGCGTCCGAGCATGACGACCGCGTTCTGATGTCGGCGAAAAGGCCCACGTCTTGAACCACCAGATAAGCTCCGTGATGAACCCACGAGTCAAGGGGCCCCGGAACTCAAACAGAAAAACCAAGCCCAACAGCCCAACCGAGCCCGACCCCGTTTGGAAAAGGACCGAACCGAACAGAACCAGCAAGGGCCACGCAGCCGAACCTCAAGAAACAACGACAATCAGTACATAAACATTCTTTCCGGTCGGGATGGCCGGAAGATGAAACAGGTGCTGCAGATCCGCTGACTTGTAGCCGGCGGACAAATAGATACTGCGAAGCTGATCCAACGCCATCTGTACTGCCCGTGCTGGGTGCGCATACTTGGTGGCGAGAGCTGACCGTGATCTAGCCCCGGAGAGAAGGGTGGAAAGACTTCCTGCAGTGTGGGGTCCTCTGATCTGCCAGATTTTTGTTGGGGTTTTGTAGTAAATCGCCCGGTCGCCTACGTCGATGACGAAGCCGAGGAACTCAGAGGAGCCTACCTGTTCCAACACGATGGGTGCACCATAAAAGTCAGCGTGAAGCAAAGCCTCCAATGGGGCTGCTGGAAGATCACAAATCTGTTGTCGACATATCGCTCCAAGAAGATGTTGTGGCTGGCGAACCATTGTCCGTAAATACGCTGCCAGAGGACTTCGTGCCGCGCGACGCAAATGTGACTGAGAACTGGGCTCAGCTGAGAGCCAATCGCTGTTCCGTGGACTTGGCGAAGGATGAGAGTTCCCACCTGGACGTACATGCATTGGAAGCTGGATTTGACTATATCCAGGATGTCTTCCACATAAATGACCCGCGTAGTCGGCGTGCGTCCGTAGGATTGCTTACCCGCAAAGACCCGGTTGTAGTGGACCGCCGCCTGAGTTTCCACCGAATAGATGAGACCAGCATGCTCTCGCCGGTGCTCTGCTAATAGCTGCTCAACTGCTGCGCACACCTGATCCTGAGGGACACTGTTGAAGAAGCCGACCAAGTCATCGTTGTGAAATGCGAGAGTGACTGTATCGTCTGTGTTGTCAAAGTATTGTTTGACGTTCTGCCATATCCTCGGCGTGGGGTGTACCCCCCACGAACACTTCCATGTGATCGCGGCGATCTCGCCGAGAAGAATCGCAACCGCTTTGAAGAGCTGCCGGTGCACCACCTTATGGTAGGCTATAATAGTTCGCCCCGATTTCCATTGCTTCTTACGTTTGAGAAAGACCTTGCCGACCGGGATCGCGGTGGTCTTCTTCCTGTACGCCCATTTGTACCTCTTCTGCAGGTGCCGGGGGATAGCTTCAACAATAAGAGCCTCGGCCTGGTCAGGCTTCAGCGGAGTGGCGGCAAATGTGCCGGACTGAAGCCAAGTGTTGTGGAGGCCTTTGAAGTAGAGTTGGGGGCAGAAGAACATGAGGTGGTGGTTGTCATGGTCCTCGTTATGGCACACGAAGTCCTGGCCGAGGTGTCGATGCAGGATGTTCAGCTGGTGCTTGGTGAGAAGTTGATGGGTGGATGCGTGTTGCCGGTGTTTCAGAAATTCACTGCGTAGGTGCTGCATGAGGGGTGCGTGAAACTGGTCCAGGGGCAGGCCATGGTGCAGGCACCATTTTCGTAGGCGTTCATGAACCTGCACGTCGTAGACTGACAGGTCCACATAATATGACGC